TCAGCGATTGATGTGGCATTCAGTACTTTCAAACTTAAAAAATCCTTCTTGAACTAATTAATTCATTAATGATTGCTTACAATAAATATAATAACAAAGCATATTATAACTGGTGAAAATTACACCTTACAAAACTGTCACAAACCCTTTCATAATACTTACTTCACTGACCTCCCTGTGACACATACAGTAACTTATACCAGCTATACACTGTACCATTGCCCAAAACAAAGTCAAAAAGAACATACCATTATGCTATTTTGTATAATATCAGTTACATATTACTGCAGTTTTAATATCGTCATTTCTTTGCAGTCTCTATACAATTGTTTCTCTATTGTATTTCCTATATTTAGGGACATTAAAAGATAATTGCTTTATCAAAGGGAATAAGCATGATACAATCTATCTCCCTGTATCTTATGAACAGAAGAATACATCTGCATTAGGATTTCACATTGCACTTTTTAGCATATATTTTAAGTACATATAAAAAAAGGTTCCATAAAAAAACAATTTAGCAAATGGCAAGAAATACAAAATATCTACACCAGTTTGGCAAAGCAGAAGTATAAAGGATATAAAAAATAAATGTTCCAACCCCTTTTTTCTTCTTCTTTATTCTCCTCACAGACTGGATACACAATGTGTACACAAGAGCAATGATATAAATAAGAAAAAGCAAGCAGTCATAAGAAACACATTGACTACACACCTACGTCAGAGTGGCTGCCACTGTCAAGGGAGGCTTTGCTAACTATAACTGGGGTGGTTGTGGGAGGAATACATGTCTCCTCGGTGAAGGAGGCTCTAGCACAGGCTGCTGTAAGAACGGAAACACAAAAAGATACACACAAAAACACCGAGACTACTTCAGTAAGAAAACAAATTGAAAACAAATGTAAGGTTGGTGTTTATACAGTGCCTTCTGGGATGAACGATTCTCTATATGGGTCAGCACGACCTAAAATTTCTTCTAGTCCAAACTATAAGACTGAAAATGATATCAGATGAACTACAGAAAAGAAGGAGATAATGGACTGGGCTCAACAACAAACTGGCAGGAAACATGGCAAAGTAAGTGAGTTATTTCTGTTATGTGTCTGGTGCCTTTTGCAACAGGAATGCTGATTAAACAGTCTAAGATGACTATCCATGTGTCATATCTTTATTATCTGACACTCTGACGAAAATTCAGCAATTTTGGTATGATGCTGAATATGACTGTACTCAAGTTTGATGCTCAATTTATGTATATAAATATAATGTATTGAAAGCGAGCTCTGTGCTTCCAGTATTGGAAACAATAACTTTTCAATCATAAGCTTCAACTCCCCACTTACTTTGCTCTTAGTTCATCTCTGCCTTTAACATAGAGATATGAACAGCTATTGTGTGTGTTGGAGAAAAAATCAACCTAGATCTAAATAATCATAATAGTGACTCTCTACTGCAGTAAATAAATATCAGTACCCAAAGCTTTGTATCTTCATTCACTGAAGATGGAGTCCATAATGGCATGTCAACTTACGAGTTCCATTTGTGGAATCATTTGCTGCAGGAAAGTCCCCCAAGCTGTCCATTTCCACACCATCATCAGTGCCCTCTACAACACCTTCATCTGGAGTCACCACACATGTCTAAGGAGCAACAAAGGTCATAAGAAATACTTATTTGTAGTCCCGTTCACCATCACAAAAAGGCAGGTCAGCAAAAAATCTTTTTAAGATCAAGTCTTTTTTAATATCTGTAATCTTCTTCTCAAGATTCTTTATGTACAAATTGTACATAATTACAGCATCCAACTATGCCGCATTGGAATGTTCAAATTCATAATATGAATGACGTGGCCATCACATCATGAAAAAATTTGGTTTGAGGGATGGGTGACATGAACATGATATCAAGGGAAAATATGGCTGTAGGTTGAGGTGACATGAACTTCTTGTTGTGACCATTTTGGCTGAAGGCCAAGGTGACAGGAATGACTTGCCATGAGTACACAAAGCATTTAGGAAAGGGCTTTTGCGTTATTTCCATTGAATGTAGAAGGAATGATCCATGAGCCATGACTGGAAGAGAACTGGCTTCAGGGATCCTACTCCTGGCTGCTGTGACTGATGGTGCAGACTGTATTACAGAAAACTAAATATAATGAAAAAGAATTATAATGACACAAATAAGAAAATATTACTTATTGTTATTATTATTGCACTGAGTTATAGACTACCTAGAGAGGTGATATGGAGTCTGTGCAAGGATAACAGTTTATTACCATCTGGATAAAGCAAAGCAAAGGACAAGTATAGTAATGGAAAAATGGCAAAAAAGCTAAAAAAGCTTATGCAGAAAAAGAGAAAATAAGATTGCAAAGGGGAAGCATGGAGTCTTGTCACCACACATGAATGTTTGCTTGCACCTGGCCTACAAGCCACACACCTGTCAGAATGGCCGCTTAAGTAATCTAATGCCAGTATTTTGAGTCATGTGATGGCAGTGAATCATCCAGCTCCAATGGGTTAATTCTGTTTTAATATGAAACATGAATGTAGTTAAGGTCCACATCAAAATATCTTGAAAAGAAAAGAAAGAAGAAAAATAAAATTCTTACAGGGCTGGTTACTTCTGCTGTGTCATCCTCTTTACTTTCTTGTCGCGTCTTCTCTTTGCTGCTTCCACTTTCTTCATCATTTTGCTCATTATTAATCATATTATTGTGATTGGTCTGGCTGGTTTCTGGATCAATGTCAATGCTTTCCTTGTCAGCATCTCGGTTGTTCTCTATATGGCCGAAGTCATCAAGATCTTCATCTTCCTCTTGCACGATGCCAGGATTGTCTACTGACCCAATACTGAGAGTGTCAGGTTCAAATACCTGGAGGGGGGGGCGACATTCAGTTAACATATCTCTTCTCAAAATTGATAAAAAAAACTTACTCTTCAAATAAATCCTGGCTAGCCATATTCCAACAAATACTAGAATCGATACACCTTTGCTTTAATAAGCACCATATTTTAGGCCTGTACCTACTAAGTCATTAAGCCTCACCTCATTACTGAGGGATCTGTCTCTTCCCACAAGAGGTATTTCTCCATTTTGTGACTCAGAAGACAATTTGGCCATGTTCATTGCCATGATCTCCTTGTCCCTCTGCCTCACAATAGCTTCAACAGCCAGCCACTCAGACATTGTTGTTTCATAAGTCTGCCGGATCTGGGTGGAACAGTGGAGTGTTTCAAGCAAGAGAGACCATCTGCATCAATATGTGAGAACTGCACAGATTTAGGATCTGTCCATTATTGTACTGTACTTACATTCATATAAAAAAATAATAATAATAAATTCCAGATTTTTTTTTTTTTTTTTTTTTTTTTTCACAAGATATCCAGACACAGGAATACAAAACTCACCCGTCGGTCCTGTTCTTCCCTTTCCTCAACAGAACTTCCGAAGTCATAATGATTAAGAAGATAAGGCCAAACCTGATAACAAAAATGGCAAAAGTAAACAGAAAACCATCACATTCAAAGATTCTTGAAAGAGTTAATCAATAAAATAATTTAAAGCTGTAAGTGCTGACAAATCAACTGTGAAAGATCCATGGATTTCAATGGAGAAGGACATCAAGAGGTACTTATAGAAATAATAAGCACAAGGAAGATTATAAACAAAGGGTAATCTCTGTTACTAATCATATAATCATATACTACATAATCTCTCCTAAACTAATAATCTCCCTTCACCGTCCATTGTTCCTCACCTCCTTTCTGATCTGAGAAGAAACGCCCCCAAGGTACACTCGGGCAAGCAGTTCCTCCTGCTTGGTCAATCTACCATCGACGTGCAATGCCTTCCACACATCCTCCGTCACTCCTTCCTCCCACTCTTAAACAAGAAAAGACCATGATAAAATGCATGGTGCAACAAGGGTAGTTGATCTCTCATTTAGTCAGTCACACTTTTTTCTGCCATCTTTAAAGATGACACTGAACTGATTTTCTATATCAAAAATCATTTTTCAATAGAATGACTTCTATTTGGAAATAATGACTTTCCTTTTTTACTAACTCACCAGGATTGTGTGGTGGTGTGGAAGCTGATGGCAACACCAAGCCAGCCAAATGAGTGCGAACTGTTCTGAGATGTCGGCAATGGGCTAACCAGCCATAAAATGCCCGTGAAATTATTTGATGCTTCATTGTGGCACACAGAAGCTCCAGCGAATCACTAGAAAACATAAATTTATCAGTTATAAGGTACACTATATCAGAATCTCAAAGTATTAAATGGGGTAAAATAAATAGGATTCAGAAATGACCCCAAATCCTTATTCCAGTCTTGTCATAAATATTAAAGAAAGCTCCAAGGAAGAATCTTCTAGTATGTTAACAACAGACCAACAAGTATTTAAACATTCATCCAAGCCAATTACCTGTTCTTTTCAGTTGCAGTATTACTTGTTCCCTTGACACTGACTTGCTCCGGTGGGGGCACAGGCACATCCACACTGGGGTTAGGTGTAGGAGGAGGAGGTAGGACTTCACTCATAGAGTCCCCAAGACTTAGCGATTTGGAGGAGGAGGTAGATGAGGAGTGAGACGAGAGCTTGGGAACACGTGGTAGCCAGCCTGAGCCTCCACGAAGAAGCGGAGACATCAGTTCCAGGTGTGCTGTTGGGTTACAAATTCATTGTTAAACAACACCTAGTGCACCAGCAAATGAGACTGCAGGTTTACCTTGAGTCATACTAAGCAGATCAGTGTTCTACACATGAGAAATTATAGCACAGTAATGATAAAATTAACCTGCTTTCTGCATTGTGCTTTTGTCGATTCTTAAGTGGCAATCAAATTACAATAAATATGGAAGCAGTGGGATTATAGAACTGCACTGTCAAATAAGAGAGTAAAGTATAATGATAAACAAAACACATTTTCATACTTGAATAAAAAACAAGGTTATATTACAACAAATAATAAAACTATTGAAAAAGAAAGCTTAAAAACATACAATCAGTTATTGGGGACTCGATCAAAAGTTTTCCAAGTTCATAACAACAGATTAGATTAACTCCTTAACTTACAAATGCGATCAGGTTTCAGTGCTGTGATGATCCTGAAGACATAATCAGTAGCCTCCTCGTCTTCACTGTCTGTTCCACTCTGTTTGCTGGTGAGCGCACGTGCCTTTCGGCGGAGCTTTGGGAACACTTTGCCTGTAAGGTTGAAGTAATATCAAGTTGCAAGTAAGCTATGTTGCAAGGACATGGAAGGCTCTTATTACTCTGCCTTAATCAGAGCAACTAAGGAAGAAAGATAAAGTCAGTATAATAGTAACTGTCCCAAGCTCACAGTTTTGAAAAAAAAAACTAATTAAAAAATATATATAAGACAAAAAACTACTACAAACAAACAAATACCTGAAAATAAATTAATGAAATACAATGTCCAGACTATTAATCCCCCTAACACCTGCTCAAGAAGGAGAAGAAAACATTTAATGAAAAGAAAAGAATAGAAAAAAAAGACAAAACATCAAATCATACTATAAACATAATTTTTAAAAATAATCTATAATCCAGCTCTTTACTCTACATTCTCACCAAGAACATTAATCCAAAAACACCAACTTTAACAAATACCAAGCACTCCCCCTCCTCCCAAACACACACAAACTAAAAAATGAACAAGAATCACACAACAATAAACCCAAATACTACAAAAAAAAGAAAGAAAGAAAGAAAGAAAAAAATCGCAGAAGGCTTACCTTTGCCCCTCTGCGACCACAGCGGCGGATCGAGTCTCCCGTGCGGCAGGAGGCCATTCTCCAGGCAGGACAAGAAGGCAAGGAGGTGGCCGCCCTTCGGGAAGTGGATCGGGGGGTGCTGCGTGCCGTCCTGCCCCACGAGGACGATGGTGCCTCCGGAGTCTCCTGGGTGGGGAGGAAGGCACAGGAGGGTGTGTTACTATTTTTTTTATTTTCATTATTATTATTATTTTTTTTTTATGTGTTGACGGTTGTAATGTTTCTTGTATCGTGATGTGTTATCACTTTAAACAGTAATGACTATTAATCATTATCAATCATCATTTAAACAGTAATGACTATTAATCATTATCATCATCATTTAAACAGTAATGACTATTAATCATTATCATCATCATTTGCATATTACAATAATGGGTTATTTCTTTATCCCGTTTACATTCATCTTATCACTGAATTGTAGGCAAAAAAACCTCGCTAAGCGAGGTTCAAGAATTACCATATCATCTTATCCTGATTCCCATAAAAAATCTAAGTAGAACAAGATAAAAAAGGAGCATACGAGGTGTGTGTTCCATACCTTGCTGATGACAGTGAACGTAGACTATCTCCTCCACACGCACATTGAGGGCGTATTCCCAATAAATGCTGTATTTTATGCAGACGCCAAGAAAAGGAAAGGTGGGAGAGAAAAAGAAAAAAAGAAAAAAAGAACAATTAGTAAACGCGTATATGTAAATCCGTTTTGAATTGACACTATTTGACTGCTCAATAATAATAATAATAATAAAAAAATCAACACCATCTAAATTTTCGAAAAAAAGATACTAACGATCACTTTTTGGCAGAAAGTGTCTGGGGAAAAAAATAGGGAAGGTCAAAGCAACATCTACTATGAAAAATCGTTTCCTAATAATTCTAGTAGATCCTAGCAATGGTAGTAGCCAAGATGCAGTGGCAAGGTTAGTTTAGGAGGCGTGTATACAAAGACCAGAGCTGTGTGAGAGACTGTAAAGAAAATCGAAGGGCGGGAAGAAAAGACACTATACACAAAAGTTGGTCTCATCATTCAAAAGTCCTTTATATATAGTGTTTTTTCTTTTGCCGTTTCATTGTCACGGTATGGTGTTTTGTCATTCCTGAGGACCAATCACTTCAAACACACAATAAGCCAAGTCTTTCCCCACACAAAGCCTTTGAAGTAGTGCTGTGTTGTACCAATGTGTAGGAAACCATATTTGATTTAAGTAAGAGGAAAAAGGGAAAGGAATGCGAAGATCACACACTACAAATAGGCTGCTAAGTCTTCCAATAAGGCCAAATCCCGTCTACATGTCAGTACAATCACACAAGGACTGAAAGGCAAATTATAAGAGTGTCATCCAATTTTGCTTCAGTATTACTTCGTTTCATAATTAAACTTTGGTTCTATATATATAGTTATCTTTTCGTGGGGTTATGTACGTATATCCGCCTGTCGGAAACTGACGAGTGCAAAGCCGCGCACATATGGTCGTTTAGGGTCTATTTTAAAAAAGTAATTAGCGGGGTTTTGTCTTTTGGTTTGTTTGACCCTTTTATATTTCGCAACTCTACTTTCACCCCAGTTAATTATTTCTCGTTGGATAACCCTGCAAGCTGATTAGACGAAGCGTATTCATTTCCCTCGGCTTTGAAACCCGGTTCTTCTGACAACCCTATATACAACCCCGTGTAAGAATCCTGGAACGGACCGAACATATTGAAACCTTGCGCAAGTTTCCCCCCCAAGAGCAAGTAAGCAAGCACCCCCCCCCCCCAAGATATACATTTCCATTCCCTTTGGCCTATCATCTATTCAGCTATAGGTAGCGCTCTCTCAGCCATTCATCAAAGTCTTTCAAACACCGTGGGATTCTGGGTCTTGGTTTACCCTATCAAAGGCAGCTCAAGCAGAAAGCTCAAAGCTCCATCGATACCCCTTCTTTCAGCCCACACACTTCGCCCCCATTTCTAAAGGTCGCAGCTGCTGGCGGAAGTGTGAGCCCGCCATCCTTCACTCTCACTGCGGTTCCAATCTGTCACGGGTTGGCATGAGGATCCCAGTCCCGGGTCATTCGCCTCCGTTCAGCTTGCAGGGACGAAGGGAACTAGGATCTTCATGGTGATGATGGTGTAAATTATGATCGTTCATGATGATTATGATAAAGGTGGTGGCGATGATGATTAATGATGATGAGGGTGGTGGTTATAGTGGTGATGGTGATTATGTAAACTATGATCTTGATTGATGATGGTGATGATGGTAATGTAAAGACGACGTTAATGGTGCTATTGTTGGACTATGCTAAATTATTGAAGTGCTTATGAACCCGAGCTGAAGTGCACATATTGAATTAACTATATAGGAATATTCAGAACAGGGGTTTGGTACGATCATCACTCCCCCCCCACCCCACACCGCCCCCCCCAATGCAAATCCAACATACATATTCAAATAACCTGAAAAGCGGAAGTCCAGATTATATTAACATCCCGTCAATAACACAAAGCGGCATAATGCTTCAAGAACACAATACGGGGGATTTCCTGGGCCCTCGCGTGCATCCATTTCAAAACTAAATCCTCTTTGATTTTCGCGGGGAATTCACTTGCCGAGCTCACAACCTGCAAATGGCTTCCGGTATTCACAACAAAGAGTGTTGTGAAAAAACCTTCCGCGTCCATCTCTCGGAGGTGAAAGTAAATCGGTCTTTGGCAATTTTCCGGAAGGTTGTTATAACTGCGTAACTACCTGTTGGCCTTTTGAGATCTAAAGGTGTGTCTCGTATGTGTGTGTGTGTGTGTGTGTGTGTGTGTGTGTGTGTGTGTGTGTGTGTGTGTGTGTGTGTGTGTGTGTGTGTGTGTGTGTGTGTGTGTGTGTGTGCGTGCGTGCGTGCGTGCGCGCGTGTGCGTGTGCGCGCGTGTGCGTGTGTGCGCGTGTACGTTTGTACGCGTGTGCGTGCGTGTGTGTGTTTGCGTGTGTGCGCGCGCGCAAGCATGAGTGCGTGCAACTAATCACATTTTCTAGAGAAGTTCTAGAAGCATCTTTAATCAGCAGCATCAGAAACACTATTGATTTAACGAAACGCATTCAGAATTTAAGGGAAAACTAGCGCAGAGGATTCAACGCCCATCCAACTTTTACAGCATCTGTGTGGGTCTGGCGGCCCTTCCATCACTAATCTCTAGTATATCCATTTCATATGCAATTGGAAAGAGGGATTAAATATTTACGCTATAAGTGATTTAGCGGAGCATGATCAAGGCTTAATTGCATGAGTTATTGTATCCTATTCTGATTAAGCTTCCATTTGCAATTTCGTTTTATTTTTATTTTTTAGGTATGAGATGTATAAACAAAATATAAAGTGATGATAATGATGATGATGATGACGACAAGAATAATAAAAATAACAGTAATAATGATGATAATAAAGATAATAATGACGATGATGATGATAATAATGATATACAAATAAAATCCCCAAAACTCTGGACAAACCGTCACCATAAAACACAATAAAATCTCCTTTGCAACAGCATCACCTTCGGCAAAACGTGAATCACACTATGGGTCAAACCATCATTTAACTCGCCACCACCATATTCACTTTGGAAACAAGAGAAAACGGAAGAAAACAAAGATTAATATAATAATAAAACCCGTCACCAATTCACACCAAAAAAAAAAAAAAAAATAAAAAAAAAAAATAAATAAATAAATAAATAAAAAAATAAAAATAATAACCAGCGACGAAAGAAAAACGGACGTCATCCGGGAACTCACAGCCGCGGAATCTCGGAATAGCGCCTTATAAACGAAGGTCTCCGCGGCTTCACGTGCAGTTCGGATAAGCAGGTCAGACTGTGACGACGGCCTGACCACCTTGGGAGGGGCACCAGATGGATAATGATGTCATTATTATCAATTCAGTGAAAATTTGATAGCTGTTTCCGAAATCGTATAATTCCCGATGGGTTTTTTATATGTCATTAATTTTATAAGCGAGTCATTTGCTGTTTGAAAGCTATCTGCAAAAAATATATTTGGGTGTTTCTAGGAAGAGCACCGTTTTCCATTAATTATTAAGAACGAGGAAAAGGCTGTGTGTTTTCCATTAACTCGCGCCTAAGTCTTCATTCTTTAATACGAATTCTTTTCTTAAAAAATTAAAATATATTCATCGGCCACTTAAGGCAAAAAAACAAAAC